TTGAGGAACAACCAGTTCCAAACACTGCCTGTGCATGTGTTTGGTAACGGGAGACTACAGACACTAGACATGTCTGGAAACAAGGTGAACAATTATATTGCATTGACTACTGAGTGTACTAAAGGCAGATCTTTTTTGTCAGGTTTTTATTTTAATCAGGGTAAAGCTGTACAAGTTATAAATTGTTCTTTCTTTTGGGAAGGAGATGTTAAAAAAGTGGTAGACTGACCGCAGACCTTATCACAACATCTTTGAAATCCAACCCTTTGAACCACTTTGCCACAGTGCCATCGATCTCCTAAGCTAATCATTGGGATCTTCAAAGTGAATTCGTTGAGTTCTCCCAAACATACAGGTAGTAATACAACACCGTCTGTTCTCTGTGTTGCACTTGATTCTTGGCTCACAGATCAATGACATGACCGAAGAACCTCTTGAAGTATCCTTCTCGCTGGTAGACCTGAACCTCAGTAATAACTGCATTGAGGAGTTCCCCTCATGGATAGGGCAGTACGCCCCAGCTTTAGTGACTCTGTCACTAGCAAGGTAGGTGTAGTGACTCCTCCCCTAAAGGGGTGTCATTGTCAAAATACGGAGGATCTGACAGTCATGTCACGGCCATGAACCAATTGCATTTTTAACTCCCAATTTTTAAATTCCCGTGGATAGAAATGCTACCCCTACCGGTGCTCATGTAGAATTTGGGATCTCATTAGCAATGAGATCATGGAACCTTTTAATATGACCCCCATTGTTTACATAAGCCAGACCTGGGTTTCACAAAAGTTATGGGCCTTGAGCGGGACCGTAAGAGGGCGCTGTTTTCTCAGTAACCGAGGAGCCTGTGGTCGGAATTTAACTTTGCTGGTTCACAAACGACTGTAAAATGCATGTTACAGTCACATCCCTTCCAGCAAATTCAAAGTCAATTTAAATTCAATTTTATTTTGCCCATATTATAAAAAGTAGATAATTGTGTTCCACTGGCAATTTATTTCTAAATGTTTCATCAAAAAACACCAATTACACAATTGAAAATTAAAAAGAAGACATTCAAATTGATTAAATACTCTCAACGAACGCGGCTCTTCTCAACCAGTGAGGGGGTGCTTCTGCTCAAGGCGGATAGCCTGCATTCTGTTTTCCTTGCAGAGCAGGTTTTGGATTGTTAAATCAGTTGGAAAAAAATCCTGAAGATCAGTAGTGTGGTATTAACAAAGTTGTCTTTTAACCATTTGGGGGATTTGCATCCGTGGAGTCTTTGATGAATATCTCTACACCTTCCAATCTGAATGCCTAAACAACCAACATGTCCCCCGCACCCATTTGTTTGCCCAAAGGAATCACCTCAAAGAGTTACCAGCGATGTCTGTAGAGATGACCCGGCTGCAGACCTTGGACCTGTCCTGTAACGAGCTCTCGCACATACCATCAAAGTTCATGTGGAACTGTGACTCACTGGACTACCTCAATGTTTCCTGCAACCAACTCAGTGAGTAGCCAGGGGCCAATATTTTGCTCCGCACAGAAACACTTGCTAAACGTCATTAGCGTACCCGTTAAGATGTCATCTGTTTAACATAACGACTGTGCTGAACAAGTTTGAAGCATTCTTGTGCAAAACGACAGTTGAATTGAAAATGCACCATGAGATCACAGGAAAAGTGATTTGAAGTGAAAAGATACATCAAGTTTTTGATTTCTGAAGCTCTTGTAAATGCATTCATTTTTTTTGTTTTTGTATCCTCATTCCTGTCTTCCAACCTATTACAATGTACGAAGATAGCTGATTCGCTTAGGTTGATAATACCATGGCTTTGGTGGTTTACTAGTGCCTTTATGCTAGTTTTTGTCCATTAATTCACAAACATATTTCTCCTTTGTCCTCCTTTGTTGTACTTTTTGCTTTTAAAAGTAACATCTATTTTCACAGAAGATTGCCAAATGTGTCTTCTCAAAATACAGATTTTTCTAAGCTTGTCTGCCAGCCAAAAAGTCCTGCTTTGAGTCAAGGCCTTCACCGTTCTTTTTCACAGCATGTGAGAATAGCCATTAAAATATTTGATTATCTCTTGTTGATGTGGTTCATCAGAGATTCTACCTGAGGAGCTTGGGGAGTTGCTGTGCTCTTTGACCACTCTCAAGATGGCTGCGAACAATCTGGCACTACCAGAACCTCCTTACATCCCCCGCATGATCCTGCAATTGCCATGGTAAAAAAAAATGGATCCTTTAGACAGATTCTTGCTGGGAAACTTGCAGTTACCCAAATCCAACACTGTGCCATAAGCCAGTGGCAGTTACATGTACTGTCCGGTAAAAATTTGGATATTGGAGCCTGAGGAGAGAAAAAAAGGTTGGATCTTACCATACCCATAAGGATTGAGTTCAGGGGATTTGATGAAGTTAAGGCCGAACTAGGCAACGGTCTTTTTGCTCCAACCTAAACCCACTGTGACTGTTAATTCCTATTGACTTTTTTCACCGACCCGACTATCGCCTTGGCCATGGTGATTGTATATATTCCTACGGGCAGCTTCAGCCGCGTGCAAGCGCACATGCGATCACTGCATGCTTGATTAGTTTATCTTGAATAAGTAGATTACCATCATGACACTATGCTCTCGTTACCATCACAACACATCCGAGGTCCAGCACGATCGTGACATCACTGGAAAAATTTCTATAGAGTACCGAAGCGTGACGTCATTTGAACAGGGAAGTGTAGTGTAAATGAATAGAGCACATGTACGTGTTGGCTCACTCACTGGTTCCCGCGTAAATCCTTTTACACACATAACTGGGTGTGCGTGATGTAATCATCTCGGTACCCAATACCACTCCCCCCACCCCGCCACCATTTGGTTTTTATGGATTTCTCAGAGAATACAAAAATCCAGTAGGTTTTAAAACTTCACACTGAAAGTCCATGATTTGAGTTACATGCAAAGCTATCACTCTAGTCCAGTGTGTTCTGTCTTCGACTTTCAAAAGACTTATTTTCAGAGAAACCTCTGCAGCATTCTTGTTTTGTGACAGTACCCGCTGAGTTCCCAAGCCTTGCATGTGCAGTTTTCCAACGTTTTTAATTTTTGACCGTAAGCTCTGAAACCCATTGTGTCTTGTCTGAAAAGTACTGCGTCAAACTGGAAAATTTCAATCAGGGATTCACTTGGGACAAAGTTTCTGTTCTAAATCATCAAGGAAGCAAACAGGAAAAATGTACTTATCTCACTCTCAATTTAAGCATGCAGTCAAATGTCTGGAAAGGCCATTCATGATTGTATTTACAAACAGTGGGAAAAAATTAAGTCTTATGTAAAATAAATTGTGAAAAAAACACCTCTACTAGTCAGCATTTTTTATAGTATTTGTCATGCTTGGTAGAAATTTTGATGTTATTTTTTGCGTCATAGGTTGAGGAGCATTGATCTGAGCAACAATAACTTGACTGGTGTCCCCCCTCCCAAAGAATGGAAGAGTCAGGGCTTGCGAGAAATCCTACTAGGGCACAACAAAATCAAAAAGGTTGGTCCTGTAGCCTGGCCTTGTTTACATAATGCATGAAAGCAGGCATAATTAGATATACTTTTATTTAATTATTAGAGGACTTATCAGATCTATTACTGTACCATTCATTTGTTCATTCCCTCATATTTTTTGGCATGATTTGTATTAGTTGGATCTGTCTGAGAGCATCCGGCCATGGCAAAAGCTGGAGCGTCTAGCTTTGAACAACAATCAATTGTCACAGGTAATAACTTTTTCTGTAATGCTGATAGAGATTGTAACTGCTACATGACATTGTTCACTGAATCAGCACTTGATATGCTAGTGTTGTTGTAGCCAGTCTAACTACATCAGTGACCTCTCTCAAATTCAAGAAAGTTTGCAGAGGAACAATTGATGAGGGTGAAGATTGATGAGACAGCAGATTGACTCATAAATTGCTTAGACTTTGGTCTTTTTACCTGTTTTCACTGTTATGAAATGTTTTGTCGCATGGTCAAAATCTGCCTTTTTTCCCTTATTGCGTGTCATCTTGAGTTTAATGAGTGTGTGGTTGCTATGCCAACAGGTTCCCAAGGAGATCGGCCAGATACTGACACTAACCTCATTGGACTTCAGCAATAATCCCAAGATTACTTGCATCCCCGATGAGCTAGGGAAGCTGGCAAGACTATGGGAGGTAATCTCTGGAGTCACAAGAGGGATATCAGAAACTGAGCCCACACTTCATTTTCCTGAAGTAGATCAACAGGAGATATTACTTAGTAAATATTTGGTCCAGGCGAAAATGATGGGGACCAATCAAAAGCAATATAATGAGGCATGGAATTCTGGTTGGTCACCATCTTTTGCCAAGCAAATATTTTCCTTGCTTAGCGCTTTTCTGTCATGGCTGCGATCACAGCAGCTGCGTGTAATTGAAGAGATAGCTGTATGGGTTGAGATTTTGGTTAAGTTTTGCAACTGAGGTAAAGAGGCTGTTGGGATAAGGAATCCGAGATGAGAATGTGACTTGGTTGATTGGCTGATTTAGGGGCTTGCCTAAATTTTGTGTTCCACCTGCCATCTCTCATGCATGTCTAAAAGTCAAGGTTTGGTAACTATATTCAGTTCTTTCCAACTCCTGAAGTAAGGTGTTGTATTGATGAGAGCCATCTTAGCTGTAAATGGATCCTTGTGAAATGTCACCTTATATTAAATCAAGATCAGGATCCCAGCTGTTTATGAAAATAATTTTGCTAGCACCAGGTGACTTGCTAAAAAATTGGCTTACCAAAGGGTCGCCCTGTTAGCAGGGAGTTGTGCAACTAACCAGCTGGCTTGTGGGTTAGTTGTCTTCAAGGCTGACAAGTTGACATGTGAGCCGCCTTATTGGCTGGCTGACGAGTTGGTTGGGTTCTGCAGGACAGATCTGTGTTGGATTTTTTGCAGCACAGTTTCATTCTAAGATTTCATTCTTTCAACATTTCTAACCGTCATCCTCACTGGTCATTGTTCCATCGTAGCTTCCCCTGGACGGACTCAAGCTTGATCTAGACCCATCCATTCTCAAAGGCCGTACCAAGGACATCATTGGCTTCTTGAATCAGAAGCTCAAACAGGTACTGGTCGCCGTTTCACATACCTAGCCAGGGATCAGGACCCAATACCATGGCTTTAATTAGCCATTTTTTTTTAACTTTTTAACTTTTAAATTTTTAACTTTTTATGATCATTTTTTTGCGTTTACAAGTACACAGACAAATGGCACTGGCTATGTAAACCCAGAGTCCTTAGTTGTCATATTTTTTGCAGAAGCAAAAATTTCTCTCTTACTTTTGACTGACCATTAGTGCAGAATTTTTTCTAAAATAAGCCGAGATTGTTTGAGCAAATTGAGTTTGTGGAATTGTTTTTTAAAGAAAAAAAGCAGTAAACACTCTTTGGAAATTTATGTAATACCAACAGTTATCATTCTCCTTCAAATATCCTGTAAAAATTGGTAACTAATATATAGATGGTGTTTAACAGCTACCTTCAACACCTACCTAAAATCGTTTAATTTTTTTTCCTTCAAAATGTCTAGTCTGTCCCCTACTATCGCATGAAGCTGATGCTGGTGGGCTACGGAGGCAGGGGCAAGTCCACCCTGTTGGCCAGACTGCAGAAGCAGAAGAGAAGCAAAAAAGAAGCTAACGTAGCCACCGTGGGAATCAAAGTGTCAGACTGGAAGTGAGTCTTGCTATGTGAAAGTTCACTTAGATTAATCCTTATTTACATTAGTCATCTGTGTAAAAGGGCGCCTGGCAGAAAAATAGACATCCAACGAAATTTTCTTCACCAGGGAGGCACGCGTAATTAAATGATATTCTGTGGCTGCAGTGTAAAGCGAGGCCCTGTTCATATGTGATTCTTTTTATTCTTAGCAAAAATTCTCAATTTGTCCCCAAAACAGTGTTGAAATGGCGACATACATGTATGTATAGATTTCAAATGTAAGCACGATTGTTTTGTTTGTTCTTTGCACCATGTGCGCCCAAACCAATTCTCGTGAATGCCTGCAAAGGACCACTTTCATATGCACAGACCCCACAGTGATGTTATTAATGGTGCAAAGTTTGCCTAGTGGCCACTGGACAGTTGTGGCCCTTGTGGCTGGAAAGTAACAGGCAGATATTTCTTGCCATCCTTGTCAAGAGTGTGAGTTCAAGGACAGTGTACACGTAGCTATCCAATTCTCTGAACTGTGTCAACCGGTCTTGAGTCGCTTGGAAGATCTAATGGCTCAATTGCCCAATGTTGCCTGCAGAATCCAAGTCCGGAGTAACAAGAAGACGGTGGATTTCTGCCTGAACACCTGGGACTTTGCCGGACAGGAGGATTTCTACAGCATGCATCCCTGCTTCTTGACGGGCCGAGCCCTCTTCTTGGTAAAGGAGTGCAGATGGTTCTGAGTTCCCCTTTCCCCTGTCCTCATCCCTGGACTAGGGTTCCAGCCTTGCTTGTTATAATTGTAGTCACATGAATTTATTTTCCAAAACTTTGCGGTAAAAAGTAATACTTGTTACAGCTTGGCCATTTGGTGTTTGGTTTTCTTAACAGCAAAGTTCTAAATTGGAAAATTTTACCCATATTCTCCCTTGAAGGAGATTGTCACACCACTTTCTTGGGACAAAGACGGGTTTGAAGAATTTTTGAAGAATTGGTTTCATTTGCATGTCCCTGTGTCAGGTGGTGTATGATGTCAGCCGAGGCCCAGAAGAGGTCAAAACCCTCCGACCGTGGCTACTGACCATCCAGGCCTTGGCGCCATCATGTCCAGTGGTGGTCGTGGGAACCCACAAGGACAAAATACCCAAAGGTCAGTAGAGTCTCAACAGCCTGCAGGATTTAGCTTTCCCTGATGTGCCAGGTAGCTTTCCTTATGAAATGATTCATGAAAATCCAGGAGGTCGTAGATTTAATCAGTCGCCTAGCTGAGACTAACACCTAGGATTTCTTTTACTCTGAAGTAGTGATTTTTAAAGTAATTGATGAAGTTCTTATCGTCTCAAAATCTGTGCCAATCATTTCCCTGGTTTTTTTTCTTCATTTCTTTTTCCCAGACAAGGAAGTGGAGTTCATCAGTGACATGGAGATGCGAGTCCGGAGCCTGTGCCAGTCGCCGGGCTTCCCCGAGATCATGGGTTTTCGTGTGGTCAGCTGCACCAGCGAGAATGAGGGCTTAGAAGCCCTGCGGAGACTCGTCGTAGAACTCATTGAGACGTAAGGCTTATGATCTGAAAAAGATACTGTTTTTTTCCTGTCTGCAAAGATGCAGACCAGACAGCGTTTTCTCCATGTTTGTGCATTTTCAATTTGAGAAAATTTGCGCAGTTTGATAGAAAATGTAGCTTTCGCTGTGTGGAACCTGTTTGCTTTTGTCATCAGCAAAAGGTATGTCACCATTCGGATAACCCAGATGTAAAAAGTCTCAGGTACAGTAATGATGGAGTAGATACCCTCAAAACCTTGTTAACCTCAACTTGACCTAAATTTTAACTATCCTTGAACCTTCAAAATCCACCAGGATTTTTGTAGGATTTGAGGAAGGTAGAGCCCAGTCATCATTGTACATGTTCCATCTTTTCCCCTTGAGGTTATGGCTCAAATGTTGTAACATTGAGTTCTGCACTGTGATCAAAGTCAGAGATTCAGGAAGGGTGATCGCCGAAAGCCTTTTTACGTTTAAGATCTTTCGTAAAAAAGCAGAAAAGTGTATTAATTGAAATGTTTCACTTCCACAGATGTAAGATCAAAGGTCAACCTGTCCTAGGCCAGATGATACCTTACAGTTACCAGGTAGGTAAACGTGGTTCTCCCTTCCTACCCCTATCCTAAAACTTGTTTGACTCCCCAGTGGGAGTTGTACACGAGTACATCAGAAACAAGGATTCGATGTTTCCCATGATGCACGCTTCAGGATGATAATGATATTTGTACTTGAGGGGTTCTGAACCTCACAACCTCCTTCTTAGTAATCTTAAATTTGTAAAGCAAAAGGATACCATCATTTTTCTCTCTGCTTCCAGTGCAGTTAAAGAAGGATTAAGGAAAAATGTTAACCTCATTACAAGTCTGTTATCTGTATTTTGGTTCCCCCAGCGTCTTGAGGAGTTACTGAGGGAAGAGGCGAGGAAGATGAAGGAGAACAAGGAGGCACCAGTTGTGATGAGGAGACGGTTGCTACAGCTGGTACGAGAGCACTCCTTGCAGTTGGACAACGATGAACTCTCACAGGTTGGTGACAAATTAATGACTTGTAGCCAATCAACACTAGCAACATTTGTCATGTGATATTGTACACACCAGTGTTGTTCTGTTTGTACATACAGCAACCTCAGCTTTGATCCTAACCGTCCTCACTCCTGCAAAATCCTCTGGGCGGTTTTGGAGGATTTTGAAGATTTTTGAAGGATTGAGGAAGAATGGCAGAAGGTGTGGCTGATTGGAGGGTGCATTGTGTCAAGGTCTTGGGTCAGACCTTGTGCTGTTGATGCTCAGCCATGCGTAAATTCAGGCCTGGATTATACAATGTATTTGAAATCATGCACTCTACTCTAGGATATCATTCGCACTGCCTTGACCAATTGCAAGAATTGCTGGAGAAATTTGAAGGGCTGAGGCAGCGGTCACTCCTCCAAAGAAGACATACAAGAAATAACGGAGGCTATACCTAGTTTTCACAGGGGGGCAATGGGAGGATTTTGAAAGACTGAGGACTAGGGTTAGGTCTGAGGATCTAGGGGATCTAGTTAATGGACAATTTCGAGCACAAATGATAATACAGCCACAGTTTCTTACTAATGTGCAAACACAAAACAGTCCCACTCAAACTACCCCAGCTGAAGCATTTTTGCAGAATTCCAGCACGTACATCATCCCCGTAGGTTTGTTCACTTTGTTCATGCTCTCTACCATTGTGCGCAGTTGCTGTAATGTCAGTGGTCCTCTTTGCACTTAAATCTGTAAAAGGCCACTGATAACCATAGTGCAGTTTACCGGGGCTTCGTACCTTAGAAGTTACCTTTGTCTAAATATTTCTTCCCTTATTATGAATGAACCATTTATCGTTTAAGTCATATTCGTCTTAAGTTGCCTCTCGTGGTCCCTCAGTGATACGTTTGGTATACTTCTTGTTCCATCTCTTTCATCATTTTTTGGCACCACAATTTCTTCTCAGGCTGTGCGATTCCTCCATGAGACGGGCATACTGCTCCACTACAACGATCCCGTCCAACAGCTGAAGGAGATGTACTTCGTGGACCCGGAGTGGCTGTGCAAGATCATGGCGTTGGTTGTGACTGTCAGGGAAATCAACCCCTTCATCAGTCCCAACGGGGTAAGGGTTGTGATCTTCACTCTTTGCAATGGACTCTTTGCATGAATGGTAGACATGATAGATGGCAGCATGCAGTGTACACACAAAAGGAAAGTTACAATAGGTTTGCTTTGCTTTCCAATCTTATTAGCACAAAGACCCTAAACTAAAATAGGAAAAATATGAGTCTGAATTGAATCTAAAAACAATGAAATATTGCTGTAGCTGCCCACATTTCTCTGAGTTTGAGTACCAGATTGAGTACAGAAAAAAAGTACTTGAGTATGAGTACTATTGTACTTAGTAATAGTCAGGTTCCTTTCTGCAATTACACATGGGCATAAGAGTAAGTACGGAGAAAGTGCTAAGGTATGAGAACAAGTATTTCAGCTCTTCTATGAGTGTGAGTTTGAGTGTGATAAGAGTACCAAGTGCAAGTGTTATATCACTGGCTGTCATTTCAAAGATTTTATATCGTACCCCTTCTAGTATTTGAATCTCAGTTTTCTGTTTTTTTCCTCGGCTTGTTGTAAGTTGTCATAACTGTGGTAACATACTTGGCACACCAAATCAACACTGAATCCACTCTTTGTGTTTTGTTTGCATTAGCAAATGAGGATCAGCGACTTGCCCATACTCTTCACTAGGACTGAAGATCTGCCCATAAAGCGACTTCTCCCACAGTACCTCAAGCTGCTTGAGAAGTGAGTACACTGCTAAATATCTATCAGTCCACCTCTGTAGAATTTTGGCTCATCACCGTCGGTATTTTTCAAATGGAATCCTTTGGAAGATGTAGTAGGTTGTAAACTGAACCCCCAAATGTGACCCAATCTCACGAAAGGAGTCTCAAGGCCACATTTTCAGTAATTTGGTTTCAATTAGTATTAAGAAAGAGCAAACTGAGCTCTTTGTTTAGAGATTTCACCCAGTTCGACATCTTGAGAAAATATGCATTTTGTAGGAGAAAAATGTCGAGGTTTCCTATTGATCTATACCATGCAAGATTCCTTCGAAAGCCTTTTACTCAAAAGATGCTCTGGTAATATGCAACTCGGTTCGTTCAGTCGGGTCATAAATAGAAGTTACAGTTGGAAGATGTATCATCTCGCAAGTTGTGATGCCACGTGACATGGGAGTGTCCAGGAAATTTATTCTGGGATATTTTTCTTTGGTCCCCCATCACAGGTTTGAGGTTGCACTCCCCATCACCGACACAGAGCTTCTTATCCCATGCAAGATGCCCAGCCAGAAACCAGCTATCACTCTGCCTTGCTCTAGCAGACAAGGTGCCAGAAAATTTATCATTTAATTGCAGGCATAGTCCTTGTGCAGTAGCCCGACTGGCGTCCATTTTTTGTTTTAATTCTCGACAAATTTCAGGCGAAATTTCAGTGCCCATTCATCCACATCTGTGTGATTCAGATAGCAATAAACACAATATACCTCAGGAAGCCATATTTAGCATGCATTGCCTTTTATGCATGCTAACGATATATATGTGAGGTATCAATTCAGAACACTGCCATGTAGATGTAAATGATGCTGTGTAATTTCTTCCTTGGTGAAATAAAGGATGATCCATGAATGCGTATCTATGGTTGGCTTTTAAATCTCAGATCTCCTGCACCGTCTGTATGATATGCCCTACGTGCCCATCGGTCTGTGGTCCCGTCTCATATTAAGGCTTCTGGTCTTCTCCACCCAGATGCTGCAGACGGTAAGTCAGTTGGATCCCTCAAATCCCTTGTCTTCAGGTGGCTCTGTTGACCTGTCTTCAGTTGGCTCTGTTGACCTGTCTTCAGTTGGCTCTGTTGACCTGTCTTCGGTTGGCTCTGTTAACCTCTCCGAGATCGATGGACATTGTGCTCACAAGAACAACTCCAGTAGTACTTTCAAGTACAGTGCTTTTTCTGGTATACACAAATCCAGGCACGGAATGACTTCTGGCTTAAAGGGATAACTCTTGATGAAAGTAGCATTTTACAATTGGTTGAACAGTAACCAGCGTCCCCCGTGAACATACCAGTGTTGTAATCAAGCATTTTACGAGTACCAGGTTTATCCTCAGACAATGAACTGGTTATATGTGAACAATGCTGGATAACATAATCAAAGGATGGTGAATGCATAAAGGTAACTTTACAAAATAAATGGATTACTTTGGATTGTTACAATTGCGTAAGATGTACATTTTTAGGGCCAAGTACTTTTATCTTTATAATTTAAGTTTGCACAACTAACAATATGAAGCCTTAACTGTGAACTATGCCCATGTTCACCAGCTTTGTTAATCAGTTTGTAAAATCATTTTTAAGCACCTAGTCAGTTTCCGTATATATAGATAGTTGGTTTCATGATTTATGTTTAAAAAAAGCCATATCCTCTCTGAGTGATCCCTGTTCACCACTTCCCATGTTGTGTCGTGTTATTGGGGCGTGATCCCTGGCTTCATGGTGTTTCAGGTTGGATGGCTTCTGGCAAAGATATTGACAACTTGAAAGAGCCACCAACGTAGGGTTGGATAGCTCAGTTGGTAGAGCACCGGTACGGTACTCCGGAGGCTGCAGGTTCAAATCCCGCTCCAGTCAATTTCTTTGTTCATCTTTATAATCAGTTCAATAGTTGACATTAAACCTGGTACTCCAAAGTGCTTGACTACAACACTTGAATGTTCAGGGATTCTGTGCTGTGTTTGCTGCCTGTGACAAGTCCAGCTGACAATTTTCTTAGCATATAAACCAGAGATTCACAAAATGCTTACAAAATTGCCAACAAGTGAGGAGTGTTTGATGGTAAATGTGTTGCATGTATGTGAAGACAAAGTGAAATGATTCTTGTTCGTTTTTTGCATAGCCCTCGTCTGTAGCCTCAGCTTGTAACGACGATATCTCCAAAGTCACCAAATACTGGAGGGAGGGAATCTACGTCTGCTGGTCCAGAGTAAGTCCAACTCCCATCCGATGGCCCTATCCCCCCCAAAAAATAAAAGTAACAAGCGTAAGCCTGTGACTTCAAAAATGAAGGCAAATCTCACATTTAGCATTTTTGGACATGATAATTCTTTCCAAAGTAACATTGCAAAATGACAGTACTGTTAAAAGTGAGAATAATTTCTTTAAGTCTTTAACATTCAAGTGTTAAACGTCAAACTGAAAATTGATTTGTTACTAACAATGTGAGATAAAGTACCATCAAATTTTGCGATTGGTTTCAATGGAGGTTGATTCCCTGTTAGAAACTGTTTCCTCAATGACGTGATCATTTCTCGACACAGGAAGCATTCTTCTGTGTCGAGTCCTTGAGGAAAGGCCGAGATGGACTGAAAATTACCGTGCCTCAGACCAAGGATGGCAACAGGTGAGGACATACTGAGTGCTAACATTCTGGTTTGCGATATTTCAGTTGCTCCCTTTTCCGGTTTTTGCAAAACTGTTCTTGTTATTCGGAGACAAATTTGTGCAGAATTGGTGTTAAAAGTTTTTGGGGGTATATTTGAATTCCCAAGTCATTTAGTTATCCAAACGATGGATCTGTTGCTTATTCCTGTTTACTAGTACCACTCAGTTGAGACTTGATCTGTAAGACAAAAATGAAGCCAATTTTTCTCACACTTTCTTATCAGTATTTGTGGTTGATGACTGTTCTGCCTAATATAATGTGGTATACTTCTTGCAGTTAAGACTGCCTTACATTTTAAATTGTTTCCTTGATGTTTGCTCAGACTTCTAGGCCTGCTGTGTGATCATGCAGATGACCTGATAGAGGAGTGGTTCCCTGGTCTGACTGAGATGGATCCATTACAAGGCAAAACGCTGGTACAGCGGATGGTACCCTGCGTCCTGTGTGAAGGTAAGGCTAGGTCCAAATCTTGTGACTAGGGCTAGGTCTAGGCTGTTGCTGGTTTGAAATATGTGAGGCACACGCTAACAGTAGACATAGCCATAACTCTGGAAACCTCTTTCAGACTCGGACTGGTATCCAGGCGCTTGACTCCAATTAACAATCTGATCTGACCTTATTAGATCCGATCCGATCCAAGCTTGAGCTGCATAGACATCCCTGTCAAGCACTAGTCTCGGGCACGAAGAAGACATTTCCTTGTCGGATAGTTTCGACTTCAGTAGCTGCTTTCCAATAACGTCCTCTATGAGCAGCATTGCCTTTAAAACGGTTCATGCATTTTGGAAAAAGGAACGCGTCACAAAGCTTATGAATTGTAGGAAGAAATCTTCGGGAATGACCTAGGTAGATGCATCTGCCCTTTCTGTGTGCGACACTTTGTTCTGTTGTTCATCTTTATCAGAAAACAAAAACCACCAGTTTATGCTGGATGAGCTGATTGAGAGGTCAGAGGTCAACGACTACATTGTCTGCCCCAACCACATGGACATGCAGGTTCCACTAAAGTTATTGGTAAGCTCTTGCAGATTCTCCCCGAACACTCCCACCCAAATTTATTTCACTACGCTGCACACGTTGAGAGCCAGCTATACACTAAACATGAATGCGGAAAATAGGAAATCTGCCAAAGTTGTGTTTGGACCAATTTTATCAGTATCAATTCTCAATCTTTGAATCTCTGACATATATGTGGACACATCTAATTGAACAATTGAATTGTTATTTATGTTAATTGTACCCATTGTTATAAAATGTTGCAGAACAATCAGATGTTAATATTCAGCTCGATATTTGAAAGGGGCAAAGTGGATACGCTGTAACGTGAATATGAAAGCCCACTTACAATAGTACGTGCAGTATATGTACTAAAGATATAAAAGATGTAAAATGATATCGGTCATTTTTGTTCAACACTTCAGGCCCCTGATGTGATGCTTGCCGATCTGGATGACCGATTCCACATCGACCCCAAGCTGCTGCAGTTTTCACCCAGGTAGCTTGATCAAAAACAGAAACCCTCATCATGCTGAATAACGAAAGAGTTCAAAATGGGTTTGCTGGGGACTTTGCAAATGTTTGAAATGTCTCTGGAGAGTGAAGTGACTTGCTGAGTTGGACTTCGAAACTAAACTTCAAGTTGTTTCCTGCGGACCTTTTTTTGTTTCTTTCTAAGATTCTCTGGTTGTAGAGGTTGAATTAAGTCCTTCAGATGGAGTACCTGCCCCTTCTCATTCAGGCAAAACTTCTCTGTCGTGCGCTGTTTACACGGGCAAAATGTTTCCATTATCACCTTGTTTGTTACAGTTCTTCACACATGCTTGGAGATGGGAGTTTTGGTTCAGTGTACAAGGCCAAATACAAAGATCAGGTAAAAGTTGTTGGGCGTTTTTGTTTCTGTGTTTTTTTTACAAAACAGTAATACTTTTTCAATTTTTTTTTTATTTGAAATTGCTCTTGTTAAGAGTACCCTCGATTTCACATGAAGCCTATGTTGAATTGCAGGCCAGAAATTGAAATTTATTTCTCCAATTATACACCTATTACACACCCCACATTTATTGCATAAACTCTTTTATAAGCTGTGAAAAGTCTGTCCCACTCAAAATGCCACTCAGTTCACATTAAATACGTTTTGGGTAATTTTAAGTACAATAAGAAAAATTTTGTTTATTTCATTCACGGTAAAAGCATTACAAACCTAAATAAAATTCAAAATTTATTTTTGATGAGGTTAGTATTCTTTTCTGCTGCCGTCAGAATGCTACACCAGCCCATAGTGGCAGTTGTCAATTTCTCCAAAATGCCAGCTAATGTTTATTTTCTTTTATGTTTCATCCAGTACGTCGCAGTCAAGATGTTTGGGATGAGCCCAGATGTCCATCCTCATCGACTTCTCAGACAAGAAGTGAGTCCTCCACACTCTCACACCACATTCTCTCACTGTACTTTCTAGCTGCAAGATTCAATTTAAATTGAAGCATTGATTGAAGGAAATAAGGGAACCTTATTCCATCGTCCATCAAGGTCATAATTTTCACAGCTTTGGTTGGTTAAATATTTGCTCAATCCAGTTCATGTTCCCTATTCTTTATAGGATAGAGTTGTGCTGTTGTCTTTAGAGAATGGCTTGGGTTTAGCTAAAATTCCAACCTGTGTAAGGCACAGTTTTCCTTTATTCCCATCAATTGCCCATTTTTTTATTCAACGGCATAGCCATACCACAAGTCAATCTTAACCCCTTCCGGCCGGGATTCTTTTGACCGTGACTGCTGGGCTGTGGTATGCCCAGAATGCAAAGCTCTGTCCCACAGCAGACCCCATTGAAACAGCAGCTGCATGGTGAATAGACTGTATATGTATGGTATGCACTAATCCTCGCATAAAGCCGCCGCTGTCGACGGTTCCCGGTGCGAAGGGGTTAACGCATTATTTTTGGCAGAATTACTCATTGTTAGGCTTTACTCGTGTTACTCCAGGGCTGTTACCCAATACTCAACTTCATCTCCGTCTCTGGAGATTTCTCCAAACTTAGTCCCCGTTTGTGGGCCTGAAATTCAAGTACAGTAGTATTCTGCTCTTTTGCATCTCAGTTGATGTTCCCTTGGCACTATCAGACTTACTATCAAGCTAATAACTTCAACGCTAGGTCATTAAAAAACAGACAGAGATGAAGTTGAGTTTTGGAAAACAGCCCAGCTTTTTCTTTTTATGCCGTTGGATATTCACTATAGCCATATCTACAAATCAGCTGATTTGGACGCAGATGCCTTAATAATCACTCCCTTGGTTGGGCCTAGATGGAGATCTCTTTCTTAATTCATAGCCTTAACACAGCATTGTAGTAGAGTACTTCATTAGTACTTCAGTGTTCTTCACTAGTCATCTCAAGTTCAGCCACAAGTCCTTTCACTGTTAGTACTCGGTGCATCAACAGTCATAAAAGGGGATGTCTGTTACACTTCCCTTATGAACAGCTAAATACATGGAGACTGTGGGACTTGTGACTGTCTTTGAAGACTGATAATTAGCTGTGAATCGGTTATGAGCACTTGCCAGTGAAGTACGGACTGCACGACTACGGGACTTACCATATCTTGCTGTATGAAAACTCTGCCCCATCCAGGTTACCATCTTGAGGCAGCTGCAGCACCCTAGCCTAGTCTCCATGGAAGGCGTTGGTTTGAACCCCAGGGTTCTTGTCATTGAATTGGCCCAGCTTGGGTCGTTGGCATCGGTATTGCGCAATAAGAAATTGACCAGTAGGAGTCTACAGCACCGTATTGCCTTGCAGGTATGTACATATAGTGGTCTGTATCATTGCCTCACTCAGCTCAAATCATTCATGTAAGATACCAAACGAGTGCGTATGCAAAAAGTTGCATTCAATGATACAGTTCTAGACTTGCAGGATTGATTTTAGAATCAGTTTTTATCTTACCTGCAAGACTTTTCAAATTTTGCATTTAAAGGAATGTATCAATTTGTTATTCTTTGAAACCAAATCAGATTCTTTCTGTAATAGGCATTTTGCTGCAGTTGGACATGAGATGGATATCGAGATCAGGAAAATTTTAAACCAAGGATTGAATGTGAAAAATCCATTCCATTTGAGTTAGGCTCATTTCCCAGGCAAAATTTGGTGTCAAACTTTGGGATGATTAACATATTTGTTTGTATGTGTGCTAAGGTGCTTACCACAAGCGTGTTTGTGAAAATTTACTTGAAAATCCATCATTACTTCTAGCCAGGATTCCTTCAGAAAAAATTGAAGTCAACTTTTTTTTTGACAGGTGGCGGAGGGATTGATGTTTCTTCATGAGCATCGCATTGTTTACCGAGACCTGAAACCAGACAATATCCTGATCTTCTCCCTGTCACTTGGGACGCTGGTTAGTGTTGACTTTTGACCCATGAATAACGTTGCTGTTAGCTTGACCAAAATGAAAACGTGAAAAGTACCGCCCACGGTTAAATCTTAGCTGATATCATGGTCAACAAAAATGTCTGTTGCTAAACATAGTTCTTTGTTTGATAACCTTTCATCCCTCTTGTGTTTGAAACTTAAAATTAGCCTTTTTTTGTATTTTAACAGAAATTAGTCCATTTCTTTTCTTATAATGATGGTTTCTGTAAACTTTTATAGTTAATGCATATTACATTGTTTATAGCATAATGCCAAGATAGCTGATTATGGCATCTCCAAGTTTGCTACGCCATACGGTCTTAGAGCACCAGAGGGAACCCCAGGCTATCGAGCGCCGGAGGTCATTCGAGGGTTGTCTACTTACAATACAGAGGTACAGAACTCAAAGTCTCTTACAATTCTATCATTGCCAAGGCATAGTCACCTTTGTAACTTGTGTAAATGTAATGGCAGGAAAGAAGTCAGGCCATTTCCATCTAGGATGTTTCCAGACATCATCTGAAAACCGCAAATAGCAGGAAATGCTTGCTAATTTCATGCATAATTGTATTCCCTGCGTGGGTGCAGAAAGTTACTGGACAGAGTAGGGATGATGTTGAGTCTGTTACAAGTCCTGTCAGAAAATCTCATTGCCAAACTAGTCTAAAGTAACTGGGTGAACGATGATATTGGAGAGTATTTGTCACAATTCCTTTGAGTAGCTTGTGGCTTGGCTTAAGACCGAGTGACTTGTGATGGACTAGTATGCAGTCAACTACAACACTGGCACTCAGTGTTCCGTGATTGATCACCATTGATTTTGTTCGTGCATTTTCTTTTGTTGACGCCAAGGTGGACATCTACTCCTTCGGCATTCTTCTGTACGAGATGGTCACTGGAGGACACAAGCCCTTTGAGGAATTAGAATTCAGAGCTGAGCTGGACGAAGCTGTGATGAAGGTAGACTCCATTATGATCATTACATCGTCATAGCAACCTACTGTGTCATCATGTACAAATTTATGGTCAATGTTTACAGCTAGGGTGAATTTAAAGAAGAATTTTGTCGTAGAAAACTTACGGCGTATTTGTTCGAAAAATCAACACGGTCTGTTTATTTCGCACATTGATGTTAGTTCAAGGTTTCTGTCATCAGTGGAGTGTTCGTCATCATGCGCTAGATGGCACGTTGCCTCTGCTGTTAATAGATGTTTGCCACAGTGAATGATGACCACGCGCACTGATTGGTCCACAGTTGACTGATATTTGTATGATTCTCAATCTGCCCAGGGTCGCCAGTTGCTACCTCTGACTTACAGCGGTGTACCCCCCTGGCCAGACCTTCAGGAACTCATTGACTATTGCCTGGAGCATGTGCCACAGCACCGACCTACGGTGAGTTGTTGCTAAGCCTCTCTAACTCACATAGTTACTGAATTACAGTTAATCATAAAGGTAGCAGATAAGCTCAGTTTTTTCCCCTGCCAGAATCAATTACCTTGTGCAGGAACAAAATCACGTCTTTGATTCTTTACCTGTAATTCATGGCCAAATTTCTACTAGAACTTTTTGTGAGCATCTGAATATACAGTTAGCAGGAATTAGGATTGTTTTATTGTGCTTAGCGTGACAATATCAACTGATGGAAAGAACTCTTGGGTGAGATTTGTATTCATTTTGTCTGCATGGTTTTTTTATGTTTCTCTATCCGTATCCAATGGACTTATGTCTCTATTTGATTGAGGTATTGTTCAGTTCACACAGGTAGTGTTTAAGTTTCAACTTAAGAACCCAAGTTTTGATTTGCGGCTAACGCTGACACGTGCTTCTTGCTTAGAATTTTTTTGGGGGGGGGAGATGAAGTCTTTCAATGCACTTTGCAACCATTGCGACAGTCAATTCATTAGCTATACCAAGAACAAACACACTGGAACTGGGACAGTGCACCCAGCAGTTTGATGTTAGTGCCCGGACAGCCCCGGAAATTTCACAGAGCAATTCCAATGCACGCTTGAAGAGCGAGAAGGAACACAGTTGCAATAAAATATTCTATGGTTTTCTCTTCTGCATCTCCAGTCTGAGCAAGTGTTCAAGTGGTTGAACTCAGCCGAGTTACTGTGCCTCAAGAGGGAGTATCCACTACTCATGGATGTCTGCGTAGAGTGCATGGCAGTCAGGGTAAGGTTATGGATGTGAGGCAGCGATCAGCCTTAGATATCAACAAGAGAAACTCAAAATTAACTAACGATCAAAGATATTTTTTTCCTGAAATATTTTTGTCTATTAAGGTGACAGTCTATCTTTATCTGCTTCAAGTCTTTAATGCATCCTGTTTTGGTATGCCAGATTTTTCTGCCTTATGCATTATGTACGTTTCCTTAGAACCATCCAAAATTTGGCTAGCTTGGTGTTTGCGGCACACTTTGGATGGGAAGGAGGATTTCGGGCGTTGTTCAAGGAGATATTGAACGGTAGACTTCAGCCTTGTGTAATATAAGAAGTTTCCCTCCACTGTTGTAAAAGCGCACTCGGTTCTATGTCATGGTTCTCCTAGCTCATAGTTCATCCAGTCAACACCAAGTTGCTGTGAAACTTGCCTCTTGTGGCTGAGCCCTAAGAAATCTGCTTGTTTATTATCTGAATCAGCCAGGGTTTGTTGACTGATTTCCCTCTGTTTTTCTACCTGTTCAGTTTTACCGGTCGGAGGGAGTGGAATGCCAAGAGGTGTGGCTGGCCGGAGGTGACAGGAAGGCCACCATGGTGTCGTGGATACAGCCTCTGAACATCGACCCTGAGAACTCCATACAGGTACTGACAATGCCCCATCAACCCCTCTCCTCGGTCCTTCCCCTCTTGAAGAAAACTCTATGACTGTGACGTGTCTACAACTGCTCAACCTTAAAGGACTCCAAGTTTGAACTCTTAAAGACAACTACAATGGTGTCATGGTCCAAACCTTACAGTGATCGTAATCTTGACTCCATAATGTTTTTTCACATTTCGGTATCTGTCTGGAACCAGTGCACTTGCCATTGTCACATAATTGTCGCCTACAGTGGAAGTCCTCTGAAGCTTATTGGTATTTGGGTATTTTGAGCGCAGTTCCTTGTGGTATTTTGAGCACATTCGTTTAAATATTTGGAGCACATGAGTTCATTTGGGTATTTTGGGAACAGATCATTTTAGTATATTAAGCACAGTTCATTCGGTATTTTGAGCGCACTTCAGACAGATTCATTCAAGGTGCCAAGGTATATTTAACAAGGCACAGTATACAGATGAACAGCTTATTTCTGTTGCTAGTACTTGTTCGCCGGTGCTCTTTCTTGAAGTCTAACGTATCGCTTGTGTTTTTCAGGGTATGATGTTACACAAGGGACGAGCGTTGTGCATGACCGCCATTGGTGAATATGCCATGGTCATTGGCACCCAGTGCGGCGAGCTGTGCGTTTGTGACCTGTCCAGCTCTCCATACCGACTGAAGCACACTCTGCCCAAACTGGGCGATGCCGTGGTCTGCCTGGCCTACTGGAAACGGTAAGATTTGAAGTCCAAATCAATCATTGAGCTGACATATTGATGTCATCATTCAGACGCTGTCCCGTTATAAATATGTCATTTGCTCTCCAATGGTATGACATTAGAAAGCTCTGTATTGTCAGGACATCTGTGAGCTGGTAAAGCACAACATCACAAGCCTACATATATTGGCCCTGGGATCTGAGGACCACACAGGTGCTTGTTGATAGTCAGTGTGGGGACCAAAACTGATGTGGGGACATCCAAAAGTCCCAACTCAGTTCAGATGTTGCTTAAAACAGTAATCTGCCAACAGTGGGGTTCAGATAAGTGCATTGTTGCTTCTTGTGATCGGGCAGTAGACCTTTATCATGGTGCAGCCATATTTGTCTTCATCCCTGTAGTCCCTTTGGCAATAGAAATACAACTTCACATATTGATAAAAGGGAACAGACTGTCTTTTCTTCCAGCCTCAGTTTCATTGCATTGCTTTGAATGGTAGAAAGGCAGAATTGCTGCCCATGCATGATTGAGGTCTATTCCACACAAGGCAGTGCAAATTTGGTCACGCTATACTTGACCTCAATATCAGGTGTAATTCAGAAACAAAAGGACGTGTCACAGACAAATAGCAGTGGAATTAAAGAAAATGGTCCGACTTATTATTTCCACTTCAAAACCTCTTTTCTTTTAGAAATACCTATAAAATGAGGTGGACAACAGCGTTACCAAAATTGCACGTTCGCATGGAGTTGCCCATCGGTTCACATTTAGGCAGTCAACTCCTTCACCTCAATTACATTACCTCTGCCATGTGGGCTCTTCATCAGAGCTTTAGAGCTCCACGTCTGATGAGCACATGGGTGGCAAGTTAGGGTGAGGGAGGAGAGGATAAACCATGTGCCGCATCGTTTCCAAGTTCATAGAAAGATAAATTTATAAAAATGACTCAAATTTTCTTTCCCAGGGACCAAGAGGCCAGCCTTCTCTTCGCTGGACTGGCCAACGGAAGACTGGCTATCTACAAGGCGAACAGACTACAGAGCGTGAGTACTTAGTAACAAAAGCAAGAAAGAAACAGAAGGAGCTGTTGAACTGTGCCGTAATCCTTTTTGTCTGCATTATGTTCATCCTATTGCCAAAAATATTCAAGCAGTCATGGGGGGGTTTTGAGCTATATAATGAAATTAAAAACTTGACCAGGCGAGAGATTTGTCTGGATTTTTCCTGGTTTCGGGATGTTGTTTTTCATCAGGATTTTTCAAACAGTCTCTAATAAAAATCTGAAAAATCCTGAGTTAGCCATTAAGGTTTAATGTATGAAAGTTTAGATATAGAACACGAGAAATGGGTATTTTAAGGCATGTCTCGTGGGCAACCACAAAGCGACCCTCTGCTGCTGTGAAGCCCTCAAACCTCCGGTGATTATTTCAGGGATATTTTACTGTCTTCCGGTCTCACCCCTGATTTACACCTTTACATGTCATATCTAGGACTTGTGGCTTTTAATGTAAATAGTACCATTTACATCCACTGACAAATTGTTAGGTACCTGTTAAGTTTTATTTTATTTTGTGGATTTCTTTCCTCTTAAACTTACTTTTGACCCAAGGATAAGGATTGCCAACCTGACAAGATGCTTCACATAGGGTCCAGGGATGAACCCATCAAGTCTATCACCTTGACTCGTAACAAGATCTGGCTGGCCTACAGCTCCAAGGTCATCAGTCTAAACATCTACAATCTGGAGTCGGACACTTCCACAGTGCTGGAACCGGACCAAGAAGAGAGGTAAAGCCACGTCCAGTTAAAGGGCATCAACTATCTGCGGCTATGGCTATCTGCAGTGGCCCATCACTAAAAAAAACCTAAGCTGTAGTCATAAAAATGCCCAATTCAGATTTAGCTTGAGTCTCACTCTTCACTTGCAGGATCAAGGAATTTTCTTGTTAGTCCTTTTCTTTAGCAGTATTCTTGGCGTTTGTTTGAAGTTACTTATTACAAACAAAACTTTCGGTAACAAAAACTGGCCATGTGACCACCAGTAACGGCTGAATTCTTACGATGTTGCTTCCAAATATAACTATGTAAAATGTTTTCATAAACAAAATGCCTGCTCACCCTAAAGCGAGACATATCTACTGTTTCCTCACAAAATATGAGCAACAGTCGTTGCATCCAGTAGTTTTCAATTTTTCATCTAATTACCAGTTGGCATTTATCGTAGTTTATTGTGGAAGTTATCGTTCCGTCTCTAGACCGGCCATGGTGAAGTGCATGGCCGTGGATAAGGCCATCTGGCTATGTCGAAGAAACAGCTCCATCATTGAGGTCTGGGATGTCAGCCGACGCAAGATGACCCACACCATCAACGTGGCTGAGTTCATCAGGTTTGTGGGCTGCATAGCTTGCTATGAAGGGATGGGATTGGGTCACTGAATCCAGCCACATAAGTATTGTAGGCCAATTTCTTTGGGACCCATTCATTGGCACAGAAGCAAAGGTATATTCTTTCATTTCATGAAGATTATTTCATTGAGTTGGTTGAATAGAAAACTCTTTTCGATAGGCAATTTAAAATCATTGCTTCATTCATTTTTAGAATTTGCTATGGGTCTGTAATTTATCTATTTTTTCTGCCGATGAAACCTCACTTCAGTTTCTCAACAGCGCAAAACAGCAGTTTTGAACCTCTGAAATAATTCTAACGAGGGACGATGATGAAGGAAATGTCCTGTTTAAAATTTCAAGGAAAATGTGTATAAAGAATGACAAATAATCAAGTGCTTATGTAGCCCAACTCCATTCTGATCATTATGCATTTCTGAATAAAGTGCAGAAATAACAAAAATATTGCACAAAAAAAGTTGAGGGGTGAAGCAAAATAGCCAGTGCAAAGGTCAGTTCACTTGGGTGCCATCCCAGATCAAGAAAATTAATAGAACTCAACGTGAACACACTCCCTCCAGAGTTGCACCATCATTATTTTGTCATCTTTCATTTCCGTGCCCACAGCAAGGAAGATGCGGCCGAGCCCTCCAACTGCTACATCAAGTCGTTGCTTCTCCAGCCTCGTGTTGCATTGTGGGTAGGCACCGCCGGCGGTCACCTGATCCTCATCGACACCAACACCCACCAGCTGGTGTCCATCAGCAAACGATATACGTCCAACCTGAGAGCGATGGTAGCTGTCAAGGGACATGGTCAGTAGGGTTGATAGCCGCACTGTCGTAGGCCATCCCTGAATAATCATAGACACTTTCATCATATAAAGTTCCTCATATTTTAACAATGACAAACCTAATCAAATGAAGCATCGAAAGTGACATGGATCTTCTATTTTTCTTTCAACAGGATTGATGAAGTTCAATGCTGTCATAGTGACATCTGGATCAGGCTTTGTTCGAAGGCCACCTGTCCCAGAACACACAGGTAGAACAAATGTTGAAATCATTTTAACAGCAAAATCTGTCAGCTCTACTCTCATGTTAAACTTCATTCCTGGTCTTCTCTGCTTTCTATGACCCTCAAACAATTTTGCATATTTCATATCAAAAATACATTCTTCGTTTTGTTTTTGACATCAAACCCTTTGCACTCTGAAATCCTCAGAGCAGAGTAAAAAACATATTATCTTATATCTGTCTCTTGTTATTAAACTGCATTCCTTGTGTTGGTGTATTGGACCCAAGACACTAATACGTAAAAGCAATGAGGTATATCAAGGTGAGATACATTTCGGTAAGAAGTCATTGTTAAGTTATTGTAGTGGTACGGAACTCATAATTTCAAATGCTGCTTTGTTTTTGAGTTTTGAAAATTGAGTATTCCAAGGGGAAGTTATCAAATTTTAAATTGGACTGTCGGCATGTCAAAAATGAGAATTAGGCCTGTAAAGCTTGGGTTCTGTGAAAATAATACTTTGTCGATGAAAAGTAAGTTTCAAATTTGTTCTGACAATGTAATTATTTTGACCATAGTTGCATGTCAACATTGTCCCATGCCACATCATGCGTTGGCCGATATCTCACACTGACTCACTGTCTTTCTTTAAACACAGACACCCAGTACACTCACGTCCTGGTGTGGGATGCTGACCTCAAGTCCCAGGTTCGCTACCTCCAGTCAGACATGGAGAGGCGTCGCCAGACCGAGTCCCAGGCCATGAAATCCTGGCACAAGGTGCAAGCTTTGATTCGTACCAGTCACGCTTTCCACCTGAAACCCGCCGTCGTGTTCCCCCATGTCAAACGCTGATCAGCCACCCCTCCATCCTGCCTTTGACAAAAACATCCACGCGTCCATGCGATGTTTGTCATTGTGATAGATGTTTGCATGCTTGAAAACATTCTTTGTAGATATTTGCTTATGTCACATAGCAGCCATCTCGTGTTGGAATTTTTATCAGGCTGGTGCTTGTCTTATTTGCAGCTGTGTCTATATGTATAGGTACTACATGTATGTACTCAGGAAACTAGTCCAAGATGGCAGCTGTGCTTAAAGTTCATATGTTAATGCTTCACAGCATCACTCCCTCAAAAATAAATATTCTACTTGAATTATATCTTAAAAGACGTTTTGAGCAGGCATGCAACTTTTCCTCAGATCAGCTAATTTCCTTGTTTTTCACTTTACACTGGTGCCATTGAAAATTGAACACACTGCACAAAGTCTTGTAAAGATGGGAAATTCCTTGTTTTTGTCAAAGTCCAAGTTGCATGCCTGTTTGGCATAAAACAGAGATTGAATAAGTTTTAAATTTGGAGATTTGTACATCAGTGAACAGCAATCTTTGTGAGAAGTATGCGATGAAAAGAGTATATTTGGAAGACCAAATCAATGCTGTTAGTATTTTTTACCTCTTCAAAACTTAAATTTTCCCTAGCATGTTCTCATCAGGAATTTAAGAAATCCATGAAATTGACTTTTTCAGCCGAGCACCATCTGTCCATTGGAAATCCATCTACATCGTTGTGTATACTTCTGCTTGGTTTTCAAATGGGTTCCATTCAAATCATGTACATAAAAATCATTGCATGCTTTTCTTTTGCAACTGTGAATCTAAGAATGGTGATATTTTCCCCAAATACTGCATGTATATATTTAGACACAAGTCTGTATATATTTGAATTATATTGTGTACATAATGTTCATTGTTGTGCATGAATATCTCTGTTATATCTTTGATGGGTGAATGGTGCATGTATGTTACATACAAACTTAATTGTATTCTTCCCCTCTTTATTTAAGTCATCATTGTTGATTATATTTTCTAGAACTGGTCCAAAGAAAGATTAGTTTGTATTGGTGATTTGCTAAAAAAAAAAGTGGGAAAAAAATCATATTGCATTCATGGAATACATTGATTGGTGATGTAATATGATGTTGAAGATGCACTTGTTTTCGCCGAAACAAACTTTTTGAAATCCCTCTCCCAGAAACCAAGAACTTCCGTCAGCATTTAGCTGAAAAAAACACCTCTAATCTTTGTTGTAAATTGTTTCTATGTGTCGTGCTTTGATGTACTTGTGTTTTCCCACAAATTCCTTCAATTGTTTTTGTGGCATATTTTAAAACTAAAAAAATGGGAGGAAAATCTGTAACTGTTTGCAGCTAGAAGTGAAGTAAACTGATACAGTTGTGAAACACAGAATTTTCAGAAATTCGAGTGTGATGTAAATTTCTTCTGTAAATTCAATCTGTCTTCATCATGCATCCTGTTTGTTAAGACCTGTTTGTTTTCCTCCCTGTAGTGAATGGTTAGTCTTCAGTGTAATGTTTGCATTTTCCTCATCTCTGACTTTTCATCAGCCTTTGATGTATCATAATGTGAGCTCTTATAAGGTCAGAGGTCAGTGTGGCACATCCGATGGTGATTGCATGACGGTGCTTTACCCTAAACATTACTTCTCCCACAATCCTTTGTAGGCTGCCATCTTTGGTGTCAGGCAGTGTCTGAATGAATGATTTGTCATTGCACGGTATTCGTTTTTTCTGCAAAAGTACCACACTCACGGCCTTACCCCTTGCCAAGTTTTTCAAATCTCGTCTTTGTCTTCAGACTTTTTGTAGTTCATCCCTTGAATCAAACTACGTTAGCTCAACTTCCAACCAGTTTTTCTGATACAAAGCCAAGGTTTGGAAAAGATTCATTCGGTTCTCACCGTAAACATTTAAAACTGATTAGGGGGACGGAGGTGAGGCACAGGTTGAGACGAAGCCAGGATTTCGAAAAAGCCTTGGAATAGCCACAGCAAAACATCGAAGGTGGGGTACCAGTGAGGGTTTTAGGGAAAGTATGACGTCATTGCAACTCACTCCATCACCATATACCCCTTAGAGTTGTCCTACATTGTGCAAGGGACCAGTACAACCCATTGTTCATCCCGGACATGTTTCCTTTAAATGACGATAGATGCCTAGATTGTTATAGGTGTTAATCCTGTCACTTGCATCACTTAGCGTAATGGTTCCTTGAATGAACTTTATTGACTGCATGTGGAACCTAGCGAGTTAGCTCAGCAATTGTCGGAATTTGAGATTGAGTTCTGCTTACCTTATCAATGGTTCGTCTTGAAATTGTCTACGTCAGCCCTCACCTAGTGGAAGCTTAGGCAGTAGTAGTGTCTGTCCGTTGTGGTTCTCCACCTTTCTTCACCTTGAGGGTAGAATTAAAAGTGGAAATTGATGGCTTTGAAAGGAAATTTGGTCGCCGTGAGGGTTTCTTCGATGTTATTTTACCGAAGAGAGAACGAGAGGGTAAATCTCATGTCTACGGCTATATTCCCAAAGTCACCCTGTGCCTGTCCATCAGAATACCCCGTCTCCTTATCCTCTGCTGTTACTTTCATAGGCAGATTCATCAGTTCTGTCACAAAGTACTGATTTAGCAAATATTTAGGGAAAGGTTGACACAACATCCTGAATAGCAGTTTTGTTTTTAACTTGACCTTAAACAAAGTTCAACTTGAACACAGCAGTGCGGGGGGAGTTTTCTGATGTCAAAAGTTACTTTGACGACTTGGATAACGACTACATTCGCTCATTAAACTTCCACGTTATTTTTTTCTGTGTTCACTTGATTCGTAGAACTATTGAAGGTGAATTCTTTACAGGTCTAACATTTTGAAATTGCATTTTCCAGCTGTTCATCTTGTAGTGGATTCAATCATGTTAATCACGGCTCATACTGCTGCCAATCAAGGTATGCTTGCTCTTCATAAATTATGCATGCTTACGTATCAGGTAGGCGTGGCTACATCACGCCATTGTCATTGTATTGGTCACCGGTAGAGTGAACGAAATGGGAGTGAAAGATTTGAAAGGTAACATAAACATACCATTCAAAGAAGCCATCCCATTTGCTTGTCAACCGCTAGTGGGAACATAATCGCCAACATGAAAATCATTGCCTGAATGCAGAATGACCTTTGCCCATAATAGAGTAATAAACTGAGAAACCTCTGCTCTGTTCTTGAGAATCATTCCCTGTTTTTTCACAATTCCTTCTTTGTCAGCCACTTAACCCCGATTTTTGTGTTGCAGTTTTGATGGTCAAAATTCAGTAAACACGTGAGACACTAATTATTTGGCAGTTGAGTAGAAGTAGTAGTGTCTATTGAGGCTTTGCGTGGTAGCCATCTTGCAGGGCAATCATTTTGTTCCACTGAGAAGCCTCCATTGTGCATACCCTTTGGAACAAACTACTGGCCTGTAAGCCATGTAAATCCCTATAACAGCTCAGTCTCCCTATAAATACCTAGCCTCATCGTTTTCCTCCCAAATAAAAAATAGCTTCAAATACAACATAGTCGTGTGCCACTACCTCGCCCCACCCACACCCGAAAATGCCCCTGATCAACAACTTGGATACAGTTGTTTCCAACATCATCATGATCTCACACATAGACACACTCAGTTATCTCCAGATGGCTTTCTGTTCTTTTCCACTCCCCAGTTTCCACTGGGTCCCTACCGTCATCAGCGCGGTCGGCGTGTCAGCGAGGGTCAGTTTGCATTCAGCAACGACTTCGGTAGGTCGCCAGGGCTCAAGGGGAGACTTCGAAGGATGTCTGTTATGTCCCTGCACGTAGGGAGTCCACCGCTTTTCATTTTTTAAAGAAAGTGTATGCAGTGTTCACGTCGCATGTGATTAGCAAGGGAAAAGCTGAGCAAAATGAACGATGTTTGAATCACATCAGCTTTATGGGTGCTTGTAGGTTCAGGGATAGTACAGTTTGCGGCCCTGCTGACGGTTTCAACATTGAAATTTTCTGAACCCATCAATTTTATCATAGGACCAATACTTCGGTAACAGTTTTTTTTTTCAATCACTAAATACAAGAAGTTGTGAGTTTTGTTCGAGGACCGCTGCACAATGTCCAGGACCGCACCACAGTACCAGACACGGGAATGTACAGTTCCAATCCTGTGCGGTAATACCAACATACTCACGTGGGATGTGCTAACATTTATTATCACTGTTGGGGAACAAATAATTTTGCGTGATTATTGGAACCCATGGACTCCCTTCTGCGAGCGATCTGGTGAACCGGTTTTCGTAGGACATTTGGTAATGGAGTCTGTAGTACATACATCCTTCAAAGGGCTCTGGAAGTGTCATTCGACTTGTTAAATTCACGACGTGTTATATCTCAGGATGACGACACACTGCCAACAGGATGTCGACATCTTAAGATAATGTATCACAGAATGATGGTACATTTCTCTCCCAAGACATAACCGTGGTCAAAAATGCATCACAGAATGATGGTACATCTCTCCCAAGACGTAACCGTGGTCAAAAACTACCTCATGATGTCGACATCCTGTCTCACATCAGGATCTCAAATCGGATGGCAATTCCAGAAAAAGTTTGATGGGGCTTGTTTGTTGTTTTGGTAGTTCGTTACTTTTTGAAGGATAAAGATACAAATGTGGGCCTAATAAACATTTTTTGCTATTTAAAGAGTCTGCAGAATTATGGAAACTGGTAAACTAGTGGGTAAAGTGTTTTAATGTATGAGGCCGTTAATATTTCTTTTACAAAGCACTGTTTTTGTCAAAACATTTTAAGTACACCCAAATGTTTTGTGGGAACACAAATATTGGACCCGAATGTAATCGTCCTATTCTTCTGTGAGGCTGCGTTTTACGTACCTCGTATGGTAGAGGTCCAGCTTCAATTCGGCAAACTTTTGGATTAAAATAAATATGCATTTTTTGTTTGTTCTGTTCGTTGAAAGACAAGGCAAGAAGAATCAATTATTTATTTTCACCTGATTTACATCATGTACTCATTATACCTTCTGTTTATTAGAAATTCACAAATTTCGTCAGTTTTCTGAAAGCCCTCACTGGATGTTGAAATAATCGTATCAATGCAAAGTGTGTGTTTCCAAGAACTATACAGCAGTGTGTGATTAAAATTGTATTACGTGTTTTGCCATTAAAACGGTCTATGCAAATCGGGCGTTGTTGCCGCGTACTGTCACGAAAATATTAAGAGGTGCTTTAAGGTGGTTGACTGCGTGTCCTTGCATTGTCTTAGTTTCTCTTGATGTTAAGTAGAATTAGTACGCTTAATGTTTTCTCACCAAGCTGATATCCTTAATTGTTGATTTGATTGTCTGGTAAATTTTGTGAGTTTTAAATGTGAGTGATTACATCCAAATGAGGAGATTCTCCTTTGCCGAACATCTTATTTGTCTACTTTGGTTTATGTAGTGTGTTATGGAAGCTGTAGTTGGTCAGCGAATCCCTCACTTAACCCAGAAAGTTGTATGTCACTGGTAGAGTTGCACCTATTTGGTGTTGGAACAATAACCTTATGGTTTGTGCATGTCATGAACGTCATCTTTCATAATTCGCCCAATCATGCTGCAATTCCAGTGAGCTAATTGTTGTGAGTGAATGCTCAAAACTTCCGCAATGTTAAACAAGGCAGCGTAGGCCGACTTTTTTTCACAAGCGCTTTAAAATCTGCCATTTGGTAAGTAATAATAGGGACTCGAGGTTCATGCGTAAAAAATAACCACTCTCTCTGATATGTGTGTACAAGATGCGTGAATATAAATATACATATATTAACTGAATACACTTAATGCACCACGGCTATGTCGATCTTAACGTCTCGGTTCAAAGAAATGTTAAATCACAGTTTACACCTCTGAGGTTTGCTATTTCTTTTAACCAGACTGCAAGAATCAGACTTAAGTTATTTAGTCGTAATTGTCGGCAAGTATCGTTTGAGAAAATATTCTTATTCGAAAATCACACGCTGAAAGGTAAAATCCTTTTATTCGTGAATGGAATCACCTATAAATGTTGAAATATAGAATAACTGATGCTTCAACAGCACTAAAAGGTGTACATCCCAGAGAAAGTTTGTCAGTCCAAGATAAAAGGTACAGGCCTATGTATAAAGCAGCCGTGGACCAACAAAGTTAATGTTCTTGTAGCTGCAGAAACTACACCTCAAAGTTAAAAAACATTGGGTGCTTGCTTAGGATCTGTTTGTTTCAAATGGATCTGGATCTCGATTAGTGATTCCAAAGCTGGTTCGCGCTATCCATCAGGCGGGTTCTGGAGTCAGTGAACCAGCGTTGGATCACTGATCGTGATCCGGATCTGCTTGAATTAAAGAGGTCCTTAAGTACTATTATACATAATTTATACGTTTTGATGATGTTAATCTGCTTTTAAAATTAAATGTGCAATTGTGATTACGTATCAATTCAAATGAATGATTCAGGGTCTGTAAATCGAGCAGCGCTGTCCTACATTGAAGCATTAGGACCTATCTGCTTAGAAATTGGAAATTACTGAAGCCGCTTGCCCGTGGCTACGGCACGCACGTTATTTTCAGTCATGTCAGTTAAATAGTCAGCTTACCTTCCTCCACTATTATCGTGGTGGTATTCCGGAAACGAAACCATTCAAGCGTTTGGGTGGAAATGATTTTGTCCACTGCAAAATCTGAGCTGAATGAAATATAGTAACAAATTGGCGAACTATTTAGTCTTGAGAATGTTTGTTTTATTTTCGTTTGAAGAGCAACAGAGTTGCGACATGTTCAGTACATGCATTGAAATAGGGCTAACGATGATGCCATCAATGAATGTGGATATGGGATCTAGAATTGCTTTGGGCTGGATCATAACCGGCTGAAATCTTGGGAAAAGTTTGTTTGATGGTTGCTTTTATAATTTGATACACCATAGCTGAAGGTACACCGAGTCTGCATTTTGTAGGTTAACATTTCATAATTTTGTTATATAAGTTTTTTTATTTTTATCGGTTTTGTATTAGTAGTTACACTTTTGTTTTTTTCTTTTTGTATATTTAGACAGCCAACGTTTACACTTGTGAAATTCCTCATTACGGCTAAATAGTATATTTGTGTCTTTGTTAATCTTTTTTCAGAGCAGTAGGCCTAGTGTTCTCAGTTACATTAATGCTGAAAATACTCTTTGTGTGAATGGTGCCTGTATGTATAAAAAGAGTGTACATGTATTTATTATTATCGAAGTAACTTGTATGATTGACATGACCGGTTGCGAATGTAGACCAAATACGAATGATTATTAAATAAATGCTGCTGCAATATGCTGAAATACAACAATAGGCCCACTTGACTGATGAATTGGGTGTCATACGTCTGTTCAACTCAAAACCCATTAATTGTAAACGATAGTAGGTTTATACACGGATTTACGGGGGTCAAAGATGCCAATTAAGGAGCCCAATTCATAATTTATTTGGCGTTCGTTAGGCTAGTTCACCTTATCATATTGGTATTGGTTGGTATTGTCTTAAATTGATGTTTAATTTTTCTTGAGTTAGTGATTTCAGTCTACATTTGGGAACTTCGCGGCGAACAACCAGGTTTGTCTATAAAATATCATTGTGCATCGATTTAAGCAAATGTACACTATGTGCGAGGGTCCAGTTCTCGGACACGATGGGCATTTTAAAGTCCGTGAAATGAAGGCCACATTAACCCTGAAGTCAAGCTACAGATCGTTAAGCCACTCATCCAGCACCCTTCGATCCCACCCTGAGTGAGTTTCCGACCTCAAGACGAACACACCGGGAGTTCGTTTACCGTAACGTTGACAACCACTTCACCTGGGCTTCACCCCTACACAATGCCGACGCGCTGGCCCGTGCATAACAAGAACCGCAGTTGCGCATTGATCAAAGTTCAGCACAAAGGGACCACCAGCAAATCCCCTCGTGCCTTGCATTCTCTAGGCATCGTCAAGATGGCGAACATTGACGCACTGCGGCCTTACTCACCTAGGAAATCGTCGTAAGTATCTTTAAGGTTTCAGATTATGTAGACCCTTTCGGACTTGGTACGTTTCATGCTTGTCCACAAACTTTGACATGACTTGTTTTCGGTTGAGGGAAATTTGGCAAAAGGATCACTTCTGTTTGTGACAGTAACTTATGGGTTACAATATTTTTAAAAAGCGCGACGCAGTCAAAAGGACTGCATTTTTGTCTGTTTTTTCTCCTCTGTTTTCAATATGAAAGAGTCTGTAAGATTGAGGTCTTTTCGCTGGACACCTCGCTCATATTTTTCATCATTTTTGGCAAGTAAGATGTCCTTGTTATGTTCGCAGCTCACCAGGCTTGTCATTTGCTCTTTATCCATCATTGACACGAAATATCGATACTGTATATATATTTTTTCATGTATACCTTTTCACATATATTATGTTAATTATTGTTTCAAAGTACGGAGAAACCCTTTCTTACAATTTCCTTGGATTTTATGGCTAGATCTCATTATTAAATCTTTTAGTACTTGATGGGCTGGAGATATACAAGTGTTTATGTTTTACACGGAGAGCATGTCAAATTCGAAGACATGTACGTAGCTGGATACAATGGTTGACTAAAGTGACTTAAAGTTTCTAGGACAGTGTAGGTTTTCCCAGCTATTTCCAAACTTTCATCATCCAAATTCACCAATTCGAGTGTTGAAATTCGTCCAAGACGAATGTTATGTGCCATTGGAATATGCCATTCGATTTCAAAACTCGGTCACTACAGTGAATACCCTTGTCCAGAAAATTTGTTGTTACGAATTGAATTCGTCTAAGTTGTTTCTGAATGACAGTTTTCAAAGATCCTGTTCGTATTGTATCAAACATGTAGACATTATACTTCTGCAGAGCAAATGAGTCTTGTGCGGTAAAAGACAAAGTTGTTTTCCGAAAGATACGATGCGGTGTACTTGAGGAGAAATCGATAGCTCCTCGACGAAATTGAATGTGTCGGCTTATGGCTTGCATTCAACTGGAACACCAGAAATTGTGACAAAAGTTGAAATGAAACATTGCAAGTGCACAAAGTCACCACTTTTGAAAATACTAATCTGTGAATAAGAATTTAAAAAAGTTTTAAAATAGCTGGGAAAATGTATACAAGTAGGCCTAACTGAAGTGATTCGAATGAAATGTAATCACATGGAATAATTACACGTAGCCTATCCATTGATTTGTTTGAACACTTTTTCAACAGTATGACTTTTTGGTCCCGTCATGATCCCGTTAAACTTCCACAAGGTTACACAGACCACTGGGCCAAGATGCAACTTAAGGTAACTAAGATTATCAACTAAACAGATACATCGGATACCGGTCATTGTACGCGATATCTATTATTTCAACCCCAGTCTTTTTGACATGCCATAGCGAGAAGACTTTGACCCTGAAACTCTCCATCGGTGCTTGGCGACATTTGTATCGTATCAAGCTAGCCTTCTTAGTGAATTGCTGTCGTAACAACCGAAATGTGAATCGATTCGACCCATTCGACCGTGAACAATAATCGTGTTTTGAAATGAAATGATGATTTGTTGTTCGAGAGCTAGTTTACTGAAATGGTCAAATCTCATTATCTGGTGGTACTCGCTTTTCAAAAGATTATTGGCCGAATCGAATCCCCTATTGCCGTCCTTAGTTACACACATACAGCGTTTGGTATGTTTGCAAACTACGGCCAGACAAAATCCAGAATGCTAATCTCTATTGACAAAGACTCAGTGCAGCTTGGCGCATACAGCAGCAGATTTTGTGCAAAAGCTTTCCCCGAGCGGCGTGTTTGTTTAGAGATCAAGACTCGAATGCTCCTCAACAGAGAAATGGTCTTACCCAGATGCACTGTTGTAGGCACAGAAGCATAACATGAGACAATGTGAATTAGAAAGATAGAAATCCCCCCCCCCACCTTTCAGTTTGACTCGACTCCACGTTTCATAGATTCGAATCCTCAGTTGACGGTGCACAGAAGCATAACATGAGATAATGTGAATTAGAAAGATAGAAACCCCCCCCCCCTTTCAGTTTGACTCGACTCTACGTTCCAGAGATTCGAATCCTCAGTTGACGGTGCATCTTAACGCTTGCATCTTGTTCTTCAAATGAATGACCTGATGTTATGAGGAAAACAATTACATCATTCTAAAGTTCATATGTGTATGAGCATGTTTTTAAATGTCAACAAATAAGTGACTGTAGCGGACTTCCGAAAATCGTAAGGCCTACACTTGGACTTTCTTCGTGTGGTTAAGTTCATGTCAGTGGAATATCGAAGAAGCGCGGCCGCCTATTTCGTGCAGTTCTACATGCATACATTTTGTTGTTATTCATCTGGCTTTCCTCGGTTCGTTTCATGGCTTTTTATTTTCCCTGTCTCGTTTTCAGTGTACAACGTTTCAAGTTGCCATGCCATCGGGGAAAGTCATCAGCCATGGAGGTTAGTGACAATATTGTAAAGACGATTTCATCATCTGTTTCCAGCTGAGTTTACGATGTTTAAATGATGTTCATTTTAAGGTGCACAGCAGGCATCCATTTTGTTCTCGGTCACTCAGAGGATTGATGCTTTTAAGTACTCACCTCAAAGTCGAAGTACTAGTCTCCAGCCCAGTCCTTTTGGTCGTTCTGGGTCCAAAAATACATTTGAATAAGTTAATTACTGAATATAACTGAAATGGCATATAGAATCTTCGTAAAACGAATTAAACCCGTGAACACCGAATAGCCAAGACTTGTTCTGGTTGAAAAAGCTATTCATTCCGTGTCACGTCTCTTCAGGGCCACCACTACATTTTCGTTAGAAGGGATTTGAAAACGCTGGGTTCAAAGTTACGCTCTTTCTTTCACTGTCAGCACGACTGTGAAAACAAAAAGAGACAAATGTTTTGGGCTGCATTAGGCCTAGAAAATACTAAACTGTTATGAAGTGTCTGATTCTAAATTGTAATCACACAGTTTAAAAGTCAATCACATGTCATTCAAAAATATTAGAATAATAATAATAATAATAAAAAGTCACTTGTGAGGTAGGCTGACTTTTGACTGGAATCAATTTGATGACTTATTGTGACTATGTTTTGCTTGTGTATTTGTAAGGTCTCCTTGCGCAAAGGGCGCCAAAGAACGAGCACGTGGCGACCTTTGAGTACACGAGAAACGGTACGCTAACCAGAGTCGGGGACCCGACCTTCACGCAGGTGGTCGTGTCGGGACTGAACGGAACCTTGCCTGGGAACTACGACAAAAAGCGCCAGAAACCCGGAAGTGCAAGGTCACTCCGGACAACATACAACGACAAAGCAAAGGACGGATTTAACTACTGGCAGATTGAAAGGCCCAAGCCCACCAAATGTGAGTATGCGAAGAACATTTCACGATCAGGTAACACGATCGTTAAATAAATCTGAAGACACGCACACACTTGTTAATTATTGACTTTATTGTATGTCATTTTAATTCTCTGTAAAATCACCGCCGCGAATAAACAGGTGCAAACTGAATTACATGTATACATGTAGATCAAAACTTAACCAAACAAAAAAACGATAGTGTTTTGTCTCTGTTTTTACTTTCTAGTCGGTCGATGTGGTATCGGAGCGGCTAACACCATCCTTGGACTTGGCAATTCCATCAGAACGTGAAAGGTGAAAGGAAATGCGTTCTTCAACTTTTATTAAGTTCACTTCACTTGATGTCAAGACAAATGCCTTCACCCATTATCGATCGTGTGCATAATTATGGATTAGCAAAAGGGGTTTTTCATCGATACCATGCTTGCGTAACTGTCTTTCTAAATTATTTGGTCATGTCTTATATGTTTGTTTTTCTGTTTTGTTTTTTAGTAGCCACAAGGATCGTGCTTGATGTAAATAGATGCAATGGGACCAGAATTTTACACCTAGGGCCTATGTACATACTTTATACAGTGTTTGGCTGTAGTTTGAGTTACATTTGGATTAACATTAACTAAAGAGATCATTCATTTGAAACATAAAATGCAAGCAAGGAGACACTTAATTTACATCTATGCAATTAAAAGAAGCTTGTTTATAGCCTATTATGTTTGGACAAAGTTTGCAGTGTTTTGCAGCCTCGTCCGTTTCCCCCTCTTCTTCATAATAAACGCTGCTTGTTTCAAAGTATGCGCATGTTTAACATGTCGGCTCTTATGTTCGTGTGTTTACAAATGTTGTAGCGAGAAATGACGTGTTAACAAGTGACTTAAGCGCAGTAGCGTTTCAGTCATTTTTATATCCATATTCCAGTGGATTAGGGTACACGTCACTCTGAAACCGAAATCAAATCTGATTGACTTTGGGCCGCCTTTTCAGGAATGATTCGTGCAATCTTTGGATACAGTTCATTTGAACAATTGGTCAGCATACGCACTTGACACGTGCAGTCGTGTATATTGAAGTGGGAACTGCGCCCTGACGACAATCTATACAATCACAATACATTTCGGGTCCGTTCGTGAAGCTTCCTTTTACAAAATGTTGTGCAGAGTATTTATCCTTCCCAACGCACTGCAGTAGGGCAAAGCGCGGGGGTTGATCAAAAACATCTTATTTTCCTATACTTATATCCCTTTTTCTGAATCTGCTTGCCCTGACGAAGGTTCACAGTCACCGAAAGCTCAGCAATAAGTTAAATTAGGAGCAGTAGCTGTATTTATTTTTGTTAGTATCTTATTTTCCTGCGCGAGGGTTCTACAGTTTAACGCCAGGTGACGTTGAGATCAGGTAATTTTAATCATATTCAATATTACGAAAGAACTGGACTCTTTTTAGAGCCATGAAATCAAAGATTTCACAATTGTTTCAAAGAAGTTTTAGATTGCCTCAACTTGAATTGCGTAATTCGATGGGCGTAAATCCCGGGGGTGGGGCAATATATATTCCAGTTTGAGGTGGGGTTGGGCTATTGAATCAACCAACTACTTTTTTTGTAATAAGCAAAAAAATTAAAGCGAATTGTGAAGAATTTACAGGATTCCCAATGACTAAACTGTTTGCAATATCATTAAAAAGGGAAAGCAATTTTAATAAGTCATAAATATACCATTCGGATGTAGGATTCTGCATGAATTTGATACACATTACAGATGTACATCTTTATCACGAACATCGCCCCCTATATTGTGTTTATGGTGTCCCCTGCTTTTCAAATTTCTCTGGCCGGGCAAGTCACCCCCCCCAACCACCTTTCCCAACCCCAATCCCCCCTTTCCAACACAGATTTACGCCACTGTGAAATTTCATGCAATTTTTTATCAGAAGGATGCTCGGTGGTCATTTGATGAAGCGCACCACATCTTTCACTGGCAAAACACAATGTGCGGGCAGTTTTTAGTCTATCTCTAAGGTGGGCGTTGAACCCCAACTGAATGATTAAGTGGCGATGTTGAGGTTACAATAGTGTAGGGAACCGTACCTGAGTAAGGGCGCCCTCATCCTTCCAATACGCTTCACGGAGGTAATTAACTTAAAGTTTATACTTTTTAGGCGCTTTCTGTGCACGTGGGGTGAAGGGGGTCTCTTGGCTTTAGGGTCTCGAATGTAGAACCGTATTCACTGCATTTTGCCTCTATTAATTTGCAGGGGCCATGGCTTCGTCCATGCTCCAAAGGGAGAGAGTCAATGTTAGAAACCCTAGTAAGTACTTATCATTGTATAAATACTTCACACAATCTTCTGTGGGTGAAATTGTACGATTTACGGGGCCCAATGTGGTAACTGTTTTCTGTATTACAACATGCCATACTGTATTGGTCAGCTATAGCCAGGTGCCCTGTTAGCCTTTGACCATCCATTGTATTATTATTTACGGTGGCGTCTAGAAATTACACTACACCAACTGTTTTCACATTTAATACATTGTATTCTGGAGTAAGACATCATTTATTGCTCAAGTGTCCTCCAAGTGCTCGTCCGCTTTACTTAGGGGACCGTTCCTCCTTCCTCCCACCATACAACTGACGTGGGACTGGTCCGCTACAATAAAATGACCTTGAAAATCGGGTCACTTTTCACAAGCCGTCGGCAGAACACATATTGAATACTGACTAATACGACTTTTAACACGCGCACCCGTCACGGTTCCCGTAAAGCTTTTCCTCATTCAAGAGCGGATAGGGAGGGGCAACGGGGCACCCCCCCCATGTTCACTTTCTCAAAAAAGTGTAAAAGCCCCAAAATGTAGCCTCACCCGTCAGAAAGGCTGCAAAAGGTCACATAGAAATCCAAGTTTCAAATTTTTGGGGCCCCAAAATAACACATTCGGTCCCTCTTTGAAAATTTAGTTCAGTAGATCTATGGGTCATCCCCTTTTTAAATGCGCGCGCACACCGCCAGGATGTAACTTCCAGCATCGATCTTTCTGATACAGACAAAGTTAATTTATCTTATTATAATTTTTGTAGGAGCGTGAAATTTCAAGTAATAACTTGCCCACCTTTTCGAAGCCACTTAAATGTAACATGATTTTCAAACGTATATTATAGTCGTCAAAGGTTGTGCGACTTTGAAGGATGGATGGGAATTTCAGTAAAAATCCTCCATTAACCTACACAAAATGAAAGAGAAAACAAGCGACGAGGACATGGGCTTTAGTTGTGGGTGTATCTCATACACCTGAGAAAGTTGTGTTTTTCTTAATTTTAAAAATTGAGGGTAGGCCTAGGTGTCATTGCCTTCCGGCGGCACACTCAGTGGTCGACTTTGAGCTGAGCGATGGCTCTAAGGTCGCAGGAGGGCGCTATAGTGGAGAGTCGATGGATGTCAGAGGTCAGTCACATGTGCAGCATGCATGGCATGCATGGAGGAGATGGACTCGTGATGGAAGGGGAAGCGAAATTCGTTGTCGGTGCAACCGTTGCTACTGGATTTGAACGGACTGCACTCGATGAATGCACCGAGAAACTTGGCTGTGATATCAACGCCTCTGTTGGCCGAGGCAAAGTTTACTTTGAAATCCGTCAAAGCCAATTAAAGAAGGTGAACAAAAGTTCCTTCTATCAACTGATCAGTATCATCATCATCATGGTTGATGGAACACTTTTAGTATTCAGTGTCAACTTAGATTATCGGCTGTCAGTAGTTTCAATTATGGAATGAAATTTGTCTGAAAAAAACCTAAGAGTTTTCTAAGTAAATGCTTTGGAATTTTGTGAACTAAATTTCACTTTTTAGGACATGTTATCACCTGACGGCTGTTATAACATTTTAGGGAAAATTAGTGTTGTTCGTATATGGAACTCTTTCCTCAATGATTAAATCAACACTCCTCATTTTCGAATTTTGCCTTGGATTGGTCAACGATATTTCAAGAACTCAGAGTCACTACTCGGTCATACCCAGTGCGAGTATGATGAAGTAATGACTTTGAGTTCATGAAGTAAGTTACTGTTTTCTGGCATGGGGGAGTTAGAAACTCTTTATCTGTGATGATGTACATGTAGGCCTACATGATGTAAATCATTTGTGCTTGCATGACTTTACCTTTTTGTGCGTAGGAAACCGGGAAAGTCCAATTCCATATCAGGCCATCACAATTTTTGTGTGCCAGATACTAACAAAATGAACACTACTCTTTTACCAGGCAAGATTTTACTTGCCCCATTGACACATTGACAGAGGATGTAAATTTGAAAAAAAAAATCTGCAATACGCCCATTGCTTTTTGAGGAAATACCTCCCGGTATGGCAAAATTGCTAGTTATACATGTAATTCATTTATAAGGCATTGACGAAATGTGTCCAGAGTATTTGACTGATACCTAGTTTACTTTGTTTTCTTTTTGTCTTCCCCAGGCATTGCATCTTCGAACCGTCAATCATCTCTTTGTGGTCGTCAAACAGTTGAAGGGCCTTAATCTCTGTCAAGGAAAAGTAAACGTGTAGTCCAGACAATGCTGGCCTGTCTTTCACTTAATGTCATCTATTAATGCAATCTGTATAAAGATTAATATTGCGGAAATGGTATAAAATGGTTGAAATCACAAATCTTATTTATGGTATGCAGCTATTTGGCACAGACACTATTCAGTAATATTGATAAAATTACGTTTTTCTCAGTTACGGTACTTACAGCAAACTTGAGCCTCCTAGATTGGAGTGATTTCAGAGGTCTTTCAATTTTAGGGTTTGTCACCATTTTTCTTGGCACACTTACTGGGCGGGTACAGGGTGACCGTACTTGACTTTGAACGTCCCCTCTCCCTCTCAATCAGGATGAGTCTCTTCAAGAGCTCTGCAGTCACCTGAGCCACTCAGACTGGGTCCATGCTCTGGATGCATGGATGCATTTCCGAGGAGTTCACTTTATCCCAGCCCTGCTGGAGACATCCTCTCCAACTCCAAGCCAGGACACCTCAGATACTCTTGGCACCGTCAATGACAGGGTTACATCTTCACAAATACCCTCGAGTGAAGATTCGGACAGTGGATGCAGGCCACCGGAAGACAATTCTCCCGAGAGTTCTCGTCGGGCATCTGAGGAGCCCCTCCTGCAAAGCTCACCTTACCTGCCCACGTTCAGAGTGACAGCGCACCGAGTCGGCGACAATCACAGCTTCTCCTCACAAGAGGCGGCAGGCAAGCTGGGAGAGTACCTCGCCCAGCGATATGGCTGGCCGGTCAGGCTGAAATCCTTCGAGATGGAAGTCCTGGTGAATGTCACTGACAACGACGCGATGATCGGAATCAACTTGACCGAGGAGAGCATGCACAAGAGAAACATCGTGCACTTCGGTCCCACAACGCTGCGCTCAACATTGGCCCACTGTATGCTGAGGTAGCGTAACTGAACAAGTGTATTAGATTCTTTGCAAGTCCAAGATCTGTCTAGCTCTTATCACAAAACTGCACTTGTAGCAAATGGAATGACATGGCTATTTTGATCTTTTGCCTTAGGTTAGGTGAGCCACAACCAGGTGACGTCATATGTGATCCTATGTGCGGTGGAGGCTCTATACCCCTTGAAGTAAGCTTTTAAAACTAAGAGCAAGAGTGAGGCAGAATTATTGTCTACCATAGGTCAAGCAACTCCCCTTAACCCCTTCCCTACTGAGGACTGTTACTACCGCACCATTGTGTGAGGATTAGTGCATACCACACATAC